TTCATGAGCAATCATCACATCCGCCGCAGCTTGAAGGAAGCTCCGGTCTTCTGTAATCACGACAAAATTTGTTGAATAATCGTTCAGATCTGGGTTCTTCTGTACTGTTTTCGACATTTGTACTGGGATGTAATTCCTCTAGAAAAGACTCAGAAATAAAAGGATTAGTAGGCTCACAACTAGTATCAGGATTGGGCAAATTACAAATTACTTGGTCTACATGTCTGTGATGTACAGTGCCATCAGCTAGATCCAATATGCGACATACTCTTTGTCCCATATTGTCCAGTACAATGCCCGTAAATCGTTACCACGATGATACACGACTTCCGCAGACTCCAAGTGTAGAAGATTTGTTCGAAGTACTCGACTCTAAACAATTTACTGGACTGTGTCCCGTAGTTGAATGTGCTGCGTTACGGTATTGCATCAGAAAGTTATCAACGCCTCTGTCCAGTTCGTCGAATGTACTAGGATTCGAAGAAGAAATGGCACTCTTCAGCGTGCGTACAAAGTTTTCGGCTGCGTTATTGGATTGCGGATGTCGGGGTGGAGTGAGAACATGCCGACAACTCGCGGAGTTCAACCAATCAGTAACTTTCTTAGCAGTAAAATGACTTCCATTGTCAGCCACGATAGCATGCGGGACACCTTCTTTACTGAACGTTTTCCTGAGTTCTGAAATAGTAAATTCTGAACTAGGAGTTGTGTAAAGCATACTTCTGGCCAACGGAAATAGGAATCGACGAACACCAATTCGTAATATTTCTTGAAGAACGGACCACAGAAATCCGCATGCATTCTTTGCCATGACTCGGATGCTACTGACCACGGGGTCCATTTCGAAGGCTGTCTCTGAGTTTTGTGCACACATTCAGCACAGGATTTAGCAACACGATTCAGACCATGATTCAATTCAGGCCACCAGCATGTGAGACGAGCAAGAGATTTCATCTTATCAATGCCGAGATGACCGGAATGTAAGTCATTGAGAACAGCAGTACGTAATGTCGGAGGTACGATAATGCGATCGTTGTAGCACAAGACACCATCACACGTCACAGAAATTTCCTCAAGACGTTTATAGAATTCTGGAAATCGACTCTTGATATTACCTCGCCAACCTCGAGGGACAGGAAATGATAGCGTGGTAATATTTCCTGGTCTCGCGAACTAGATCAGATCGGCTTACCGGGAGCGGTTGAGTGAGTAGAAAATCAGCCGTAGAAGCCTCCTCTGAAATGGCATAGTGTGATAGATAGTCTGCATGTGAAATGGACTGTGCACTGCGATGATGGATGTCGTAGGAATAGGCGGATAACGCAATGCTCCATCGTTGTACCATGGCTGCAGATGACTTAGCCAGGGAACTTTGATGGTTGTAAATGAACTGCAGGGCTTTATGATCACTCATAACAGTGAAATGAATAACATAAAGATACTTGTGCATACACGTGACAGCCCAATAGACAGCTAGAGCTTCTCGTTGAGTTTGGGAATACCCCCGTTCGGCAGCCGTGAGTCTGCGTGAGATGCACAGCACCGGATGACCATTCTGCTCCAACACAGCTCCAATTCCAACGGGCGATGCGTCCGTGATGACGGTAGAATGTAATCGTGGGGAGAAAGGACGTAAAACAGCACTGGTAGATAAGAAGGAAAGTAGCTTCCTCAAGGCACGTTCGTGGACCGAAGTCCACCGAAATGTTTGCTGTGACTGTAAATCAAACAATGGAGCAGCTTGGGTTGAAAAGTTAGGGATAAACTTGGAATAGTATTGTAAAGAACCAATTAAAGAACGAAGCTCATGGAATGACTTGGGAGATGGAGCATTAGTCAACGATGAAAATCTATTAGGGTCAGGACGAAATCCGGACTCATCAACCAAATAACCTAAACAAGAAAGTTTGGTCGTAGCAAACGTACATTTATCAGGGTTAATAGAAACACTATGAGAACGGAATCTCTCAAGCAAAGCACTCAAACGTTCGTCATGTAAGTGTCTGCTAGGCGCATGAACAATAATATCGTCCTGATAGGCACATACACCTTGTAAGCCAGAAATGATGGAATTAATGGTAGTCTGAAAAATAGCAGGGGAAACACTGAGTCCAAACGGTAGAAAGTTGTAACGAAAATAAACCAAAAGGGTGTTAATAGCCGTGAGTTCATGGGACTTTTCATCAAGAGGAATTTGAAGAAATGCATCTTTCAAGTCTGGACTACTGAAAAATTTGGATCCATGAAGTTGGTGCAGAATGTCTTCTGGTTCGACGATGGCACAACTAGACTGTTTCAGGTGTCTGTTCACAGTGATTCGATAATCCCCACATATCCTGGGAGTCTTCCCGTCACGTTTTAGTGGAGTAACAATTGGCGTGACCCAAGACGAAGAATTCACGGGTGTCAGAACTCCCTTGCTTACCATTTCACCTAACGCCTTTTTTACAGGCTCACAAAGTCCAAGTGGGATAATCCGACGTTCCATAAACACCGGAGAACCGGTCACTTCGAGACTTACAGGAGTCATTTTGATACCATCCTTTGCCTTGAAACATTCAAGGACTAAGTGACGAAGGCGCGATTATTGGGAGTCAGACATGAATGAAAATGACAGATGCATACGAGTCATACAATTCAAACCAACTATTGAAATGTCGGAATCAATGACCAAAAACGGGCAGTGAAATGTTTGTGATTTACCGTCTTTAAGAAGCAGTTCTCATGATCCTAAGACGGGTAAAAAATGACCGATAGATCACTTAAATGAAATGTCTGTTGGGGAAAGTGCAACTGGGGGGTTTAACTGAGGAAATACCTTGTTGGAAATGAAAGAATCAACACTGTCGGTGTCCATAATGAATGTATGGCGAATGGAGTCATTAATGATGAAGTCGCGAGTAATATGGCGAGAGGGACGTGAACTGGTACTGGCTAGAGTTAAGGACTGTAAATCACACAATAAATCTTTGGAGAAATGGACAGTTGTACGTTTGGTGAGACACGACTTCGCACTTTTACAGACACATTGGATATGGCCAAGCTTACC